CTGAGATTTATTATAAAAATTTTAAATTGATTTGTCTTTGGAAGATTAAACTAAAAATTCTTTAATCAGTTTTGGTAATATCTAATTGAATAATTGAATAAGTAAATTTATCCGGCAGGCACTATGTATACACTGACGGAAAAAATTCCGTATTATTGCCGCAGTTTATAATTAAAATCATGTGATACGTAAAAATTTGATTTTTTTAAAATTCTTAATTAAAATTCATTTTATTAAAATTGTTATGGCCGGAAATTACATAAAAACAAAATTTCAAATTCAATTAAAAAAGATAGTAAAAAATATAATGTATTTTCTTCTTGTAACTATGAAAGGTGTATATGGTGCTGCTTGATTAGTAATAGATTTTAAAGATGTTTGTTGGCCTGATAACCTTGGAGTACAGGATCTAAATCTTGGTTTCTTGCTAAAATTAGACATCGTTGGAGTTGGGGAGATGTTGAATTACTCGAATCTACGGATAATAGTGCAACTAAAATATATTACGAGTAATAAACTAGTAATTAGAATAATACATACCCAAATTCCCATAATATTGTTCTAGCCCATTATTAAGTGTAAATATTTCTTCTCCCATCGTGATGTTTGAATCTAAAAGAAAAAATCAAATCAAATCAACGAATACTATATTATTTTATAATTAAATAGGATAAGATCACACAAAGTTGATTTTCATTTTGCATTCCATAAATTTCAAAATTCCCGGTTAGTCAGTTGGATTTTTTTTTCTTTATTTTCATGTATAAGATCACAAACGTTAATTTTTCGCTTTGTATAACATGGAATCAGAAATTGGGTTGGAAGTCGAATTTTTTCTCAATTTTGTCAGATAATTTCAGGACAGCAAGATCTCTATCAGTATACCGGAGTAATTTATGAAAAAATTAAATGGCAAAAATAGAATAATTTGCACAATTAGGCTTAAAAAAATTGAAAATTGAAAAAATAGGCTAGCGAGTAATGCAAAATGAAAAAACAACTTTGTGTGGCCTAATAATGCTATCATAAATTTCATGATAATCTTCATAACTCTTTTTGGATTGTAAGAGTCCCATATGTTGCACAGCTTAATGGCTAGATAAGCATAGCAGGCTTTTATTGTAATTGGCTGGGCTTGGATCTTCCTTAGCATCGCCACCAAAATTTTTTTAATCACATGATATCAACAAAATTCTTTGGAGAAATATACCAACACAGCATGCATGTGACTTTTCTTCCTTATCAGCACAGCAAATAATCGACATGAGTATATCAATGTATTTTTAACTTTTTAAATCTTTGAACAAAGATATCTCACCAACTATCTATACAAATTCGATGATACGAACTTGTAGAATTAAAATAAAAAAAATTCAACAAATTTTCTTTGATGGTGCTGAGATTTTTTTATTTAAAATATAAAAAATTTTATCTCTTCACATTTTAATTTGTTATCAAATTTCATAATGATATTTTAAAAACTATTTAAACAAATTTGGTAATTTTTTTTTATTTTAATTTTACAAGTCTATAGAATTAAAATAAAAAAATTTCATCGAACTTTCTTGAGTGATTGTTGAGATATTTTCATTTAAAATTTTTTTTGTATTTAAACTTTAATCAAAGATATCTCGACAACTATTTAAAAAAAATTGATAAACTTTATTTATTTTAATTCTACAAGTAAATTGAAAAAAAACAAGTTCATTGAATTGGCTTAAATTGTTGTTGAGATATCTTTACTCAAATTCAAAATTTATTATCTATACTTCTATTTAATAAATATTTTAATTATTTATCAAACTTTGAACGAAAATATCTTGCCAACCATCAAAGCAAATTTGATAAACTTTTTTTATTTTAATACTAAAAGCATGTAATATCAAAATAAAAAAATTATTAAATTTGCTTTGAAGGTTGGTGAGATATTTTCATTCATAGTTTTAAGAAGTTAAAAATACTATATTGATCATTTGCTGTGCTAATAATGGAGATAAATCACATGCATGCTGTGTTGGTATATTTTTCCAATTCTTTAGAGTTCATTTATATTAGGATTAGGGTTAGATTTAGAGCTAGAAAAATTTAGCATATTGTAAAACTATCCAAAATTTTTTTGTTAGAACATGAAAAGTGGTTTTTAAGCAAAATTTTGAGTAAAGAAAGATTTTTTGAAGATGAATATTTTGTTTTGATCTTCATGATCATGTTATATTATACTAAGATGTGATTTATATTAGATAATTTTACATGATCAAAAAAATTTTATTAGTAATTTGATGGTGATCCTAGAGAAGTTTGATTTTTGTAGATTATTTCAGATATTGCAAAAATATCATTGGTTAATCAAAATTGTTAATCAAAATTATTCACAAAACAAATTTATATAAAACTGCATCTGATATAATTATTTATTAATACTATATAAAATAAATTGGTATTAATTTTTTTTGATGTTAAGATGACCTCTCAGTTATTTTCCTTTTATTCTATTATAGTTATAATTTTTACAGTATAATTATTATACTATATATATATTTGTAGAGTACAACTAGCTACATGTACAACTTTTGGTTGTCTATTTAAATAGTCTGCTTATTACTAAGTTCTATACTAGATGTTATACCTATAACCCAACTAGAAGGTTATCTATTTAAATCCTCTGCACCTATGTGATTGCTTTATTAACTTAGCAAGAATACTTTATATCACCTTATCTTTAAATATCAACTTAGGACTTTAAAGCAGACTCTTATACTATAGAAAGTTCTTTATCCTTGAGATAAAGCTGCTAGAACCTTCTATACCTACAATCTGGCTGATCTAGTCTTCAGTTGATATATACAGACCAAAGTTTACTATTTGCAACCAGTTTTCATAGTAGAAGTATTCTCTGGCTGTTTTGTTTTTACTAGTTTTTTCATACCATTTTAGCTATACTATGGTCTGATTACTATTAAACAACCTACTTCTACTCTTATAAAGTTTATCTAAACCCTAATACTCCTCTTCAAGTCTATCTGGTACTTTTTCTTTTTAGTACTACTCTAGTTAATCTCTTCAAACTACCAATTTAGATAGCCCAAAAAAGACACTAGTATCTTGGTATCTGCATACAGATCTTTTTCTCTGGTTGATACTCTAGTAGCCTGGTTGGTAGAGTACTCTTGCCTGATATCTGGTTTTCGTTTAGTTATTTTAACCTCAGATATATTCTATTCTGGTAGTCCTATTAAAGATCTATATTATCCTTGTATTGGAAACTTCTCAAGCGAGTGCCTCATCACCATATCAGCTCTGTAGCTTTCTGTAATCTCTTGTATAACTTTTTATTACACAAGTTTCCTTAGATCTTTTAGTTTCTGGTAAACTATTAATTAGTATAACTATATTTACTAGCTCTCAAGTTTTTTCAATCACAATAATAGTTGCCAAATCTGTTTTTCTTAATTCAATTTTCATCTTTAATAGAAGTTGAATTCATACTCAACTACTTGAGAGTATGACAACTTCACCACTTTACTAAGTCGTCACACCCTTATAAATTAGTATTAATAAATATATTACGTACTATAAAATCTATTAATTAAGACTAAAACTATTATCGCAATACAAACAAAATCCAAGATATGATTTAAAAAAAGTATGTACTATTTATAAAAGCTTGAAAAACAGATAAAAAATACAAACTATTTATTTTAAAAAACAATAAAAAACTATATAAATAATTTTTTAATAGTACATAATATATAACAGTTAATTAATATCAAATAATTTTTATAATAATCCTAAATTAATAATCTTAAACATAATATTATTCTTTAATAATTTTAGATATGATACTATTCTAATCTTTTATAAAGCTCTTGTGCTCATGCTTTCAATACTTTATATCACTAATCTATTTGCTAGCAATACGTGTCTGTTTTTAAAAAAATAAATAAATAAATAAAATAAATTAGTATTGTAAACCTTTTGAAATAACTTAAATTTATTAAGTCTAATATATTGTAAATTATATTAATTAAATTGAAACACCTAAACATATCTCTTATTTAACTTCTAAATTACTTTATTAATTGCTAAATTACTTTGGTATATTATAGAACAGAAGATATAGTTTATAAAATTTTATATTATAATCTTCCTGAATTCATACTTATAGCCCCAAATTTATTTTTGTATACTCTTGTGACAGAAAATTATTACCTTAATAAGGCTTTATTATGATGAGATAATCTTCTAAAATTAGCTAATTATGATAAGCCCACTATGCTGGCTAGATATTCCTTTAATTATTATATATAAAAAGCATAGATATTTAACTTTAAATTTTTTCTGTCTTTATTTGCTTTAATCATATAAAAAATTTGCAAAGAAGTCTTTGAACTCATAATTGAGTATATTTTTTTGTGAAACATTTATCTGTATTTTGTACTCTCAAGAGTTTAAAGGCTCTAATAAGTCTTTGTAAGTTAGTAGTTTATTATAATATTAAAGTATTAAAGAAAGAGTTAGATCAAAACACAATCGTTCTCTTATTATTATATATCTATTATTCAAATTGTTAGTGCTTATTATTAATCAAAAAAAGTTTATTTGAGCAATAATGTGGGTTCATCAGTGTATACATCATACCTGCTAAATAAACTAGTTATCTAGTATGATGTATCAGAGTTATAGATATTCAACAAGATAATAGCAAAAGCATGTAGCTAAAAGCTACATGCTTTTGCTATCATTCTGCCAAATACCCATGTATCTGTCACATTATACCAGAATTTATTTATTATTTATATGAGTGCTGCCAAAAAAAATACTACTTTGATTAGTTATCTAATTCAGTCCTTCTGATTGATAATATATTAAGCTTTCCTAATCCTATCCTAATATTATAAAATTACTTATCATTATGTGTGTTTGTTCAAACTAAATCAAAAATATAACTAACAAATATAATATTGTTAAATAATAATTACTTTAAAATATTTATATTTTTAATGTTTTTGATATTTAATTTTACTTCTAAATATGGTTATATTGAGTTTTACAATTGGTATGTACTAATTTTGTATAATATGCTTTTGATCTTATTATAGGTTAGTACTGATTTATTTGAGTAATTAATTATTGGTATTTGATATATACTTGCAAGTTCAATTGATTCTTCAAAACAGAACAGAGAAGAAGAAAAACAAGAGTATAAGCATAGTTCAAAAAAATTTTTGAAAAAATAAATGATCAAACTTGCACAATATTTGAGTTTTTTATATTCTCTAAAAAAATTGGTATTCAGTTTTTTTCATCAACTTTTTTACTGGGCTGATGAAATGATAATCAATAATGAAATAAAAACTGGAAAACTTTAATAAAAGATAATTTAATGAATATTTTTAAATCTATCTTTGATTACCAGAATATATATAGTTAAAATTTTCTAATTTTTATATTAAAATACAGAAAAATCTATTTGACCTGAGTCAAAATAACCCTTAGCAAAATTTTAGTATTAGTGTGGACCAAAATTATTTTGATGCTAGCAAGAGTTTTTTAATATAAAAATCCAGTCACCATCAACATAATTTTGGTCTGCACTAATTCTAAATTCTGGAAAGGGCTAGGTCAAAATAGAATTTTCTTTAAAATACTGTATATAACTACAATAATCCAAAGACAAAATCTGAAAGTTGATTAGATTATTTGATTATGAGATTAATTTTAAAGATCAGTTTTCTCACGCATGATTACTAATTTGCATTATCTCATTATATGTATATTTTCTTGCTTAGAATTATAATTATATATGATTATTAATTGATGAACTCACAACTAATAAATGCTAGATTATTACCTTTTGTAATGTCAAATAAATAGTATACAGGAAATAGTTTTCAAGAAAATGAGTATATATTATCAAATATCATAAAAATTTGGATTATATAGCATAGATATCAAAAAATTCAAATATATAATAATTATATTAATTAATAGTAAAAAGTATTGCATATATAGTTATACAGAATAATCTGGTCTAATATTAAACTTGAATTTGGTTTGATAAATTTAGTAAAACTAAAACAGGATATGCAATTAATATTGTAGAGATCACAATTGTTCTCGCAATATCTAAAAAATTTTGCTAAAAAAAATTTGCTACTAGATTAAAGTTAGGTTTTGCTATTAATTTAAGTTAGCAAAAATTTTTTTCTGATACCAAAATTTCGCAAAAAATCTTTTTTGTTAATATGTAGAAAGTGGGTTTATAGATAAAATATTGAGTTATAATCCAAGTTTTTAGTTTATTTTGATTTGTTGTATTTCTTTTGCGTAGCACCTAATCTTGAAATCTGATTATCTAGTAAAATTTAACTATACCAGGAATCTAAACACTTTTGCAGTAATATAATCAGCCTAATATCAAAACAAAACATATGTGCAATAAAAAAAAGAAAAATACTTCAACATTAGTATTTAAATCAGGTTTTAAATACTAACAAAACATGTTAAAAATAAAATTTTATATACAGAAATGATCTTTTAAAACATATAACCACAAACCTTAATCAAAAATATAATATAAGCCAAAAAAGCTTATTCAAATATGCTACAATATGCAACATCACATTGCAAAAGTGTTTAGACTCTTGGCGTGTTTGCGAAATTTTTAGATTGGTAATGCTAGAACAGTTCAGTGATTACTATAAGCAAGTTGAGTTTGTATAGCTTAATACAGACCCAATAGCTTCTAATCTGCATAATACAATCTAGCTATAAATATAACCATGTAATATTTATATTTAGTACTATCACTAATATGAAAATTAGCAAATTTTTTTTAAAGAAAGGCTAGGTCATGAATTGAGATTAGCTAGAGCTAAATTGGTGATGACTAGTGTGGAGTTAAAACTATATTTTCTTGTAGACCAGTCTGTTTCTTATAGTATCTATTATTAAAATATAATTAATATATATAAAATATTATTTAGAATGATATTCTTGATTATATGGAATTGGTCCTGTTTCTGTTGCTATTTCAGAGCACATTACTCTTACTTATCACTTTCTTGATCTATTAACTTTTGTCAAACTTAAATTATAAGTTTTTATTAATTATTCTATTTATATTAAAGTAAAGCATGCATTGGTATATAATTATTAATAAATTGCTACTCAGTGAAGAATTTGATCAAAATTGCTACAAGTAATGCTTAGAGTTATCAGTGGCACCCTATCTTTACTTGTAAATTATAAATATAATATAAAAAATCAATTGTGATATACAGTAATACTAAGGATCAAATATTACCAGTTTAAAAAATTTTGCTCATTATATGATCTTATTTGAAACTAATAAAATTTTGCTAAAAAATATTTCACAGTGCAGTTAGATTAAGATTAGGGTCTTGCTAAAAAAAGTTAGATTTAGAAGATTATAGCTATATCAAAATTTTGCAAGGAAAACTTCTTGTTAGTTTCATAGACTAAATTTTAAGTTATGAGTGATTTTTGACAAAATAAATGTTTGTTTTGAATTTTCTAATTATGCTATATTACACCTGATCTTGAAATTTGATTGGCTAGCAAAATTTTTTAGACTGATATTTTAAATACTATTTAGTAATACAGTCAGAGATTTTTTCAAATATGGTTATCAATTTTGAAACATTTTACAAAAAATCTTTAAACAATAATTAGTTTATAATCATGCTTTTTGGCTAAAGTTTTTTAGCTTTTCATATTACTTGGTTATAACTAGAGATAGTTAGGTTGGTTTAGGTTCAGTTTTTGGTTTAGAACCTTTAGATTCTATTTCAAAAACCTAAGAATCTGGTTTTTAAAAAGTTCTAAAACCTGGTTTCAAAATCTGTGTTTGAACCTGGTTTCAAAACCTGGTTTCAAAACCTGGTTTTGAACCTAGTTTCTGAACCTGGTTTAAACTAAAAACTTAAAATCTATTATAAATTTAAAAAACTAAGAACTTAAGAACTTATGAACCTACTATGAATCTAAAACCTATTATAAACCTAAAAACCTAGATTTTAAAATTAAAATCTGGTTTTTAAAAAACCAAGTTCTAAAACCAGATTCTTAGATTCTGAACCTAGAAACTTTACTATTTCTAGTCATAACTAATAGTTATATATGTGAAGAGTAGAGAGTCTATAGTTTCTTTTTTTTTGGCAATTTGGCTGCCTGCCCTATTTTATTTAAGACTGAGAATTTTAACAAAAACATTACATTCTTATATTTTAACCTATATTGTCTAACTAAAATATGGGCTCACCAACACCTAAAGATGCTAATGTGGCCTGCCTCAGTAGCAATTAGCCTCCTTCCGAGTCTCTCACTTGCAGGAGACTTTTTTCATATCAGTTTTCAGCTGGCTACTATGGGCTCATCAAGAAGCAGAAAAACAAAAAAAAAATAACAAAAAGGAGGAAAAAACAGAGGTATAGGGAAAATGATAAAAAGATACAAACAAGAAAAGAAAGAGTAAAAATAGTAATAAGAAAATAAAACAAAAATGCTATTCTAATATCACCATTATAAGCTAGTAAAAAGCTTGTAAAATTATATACTACTAAACAAGATAGTCTCTACTCTAAACCTATTTAATTAGTATATCTAAGTAAAACTCAAGTGAGAAGAACTTCCTCAACTTTAATCCAAAATACTTCTTCTAATGGATAGTACCTGGTTATAGAAAGGTCAAAAATATGTTTTGGAGCATTGTTTGTATGAAAAGATAATCTATTCGAGGCATGTGTATTCACATGTTTGTTGTTATTGATCTGATTTGGAAAATAAATAATGCTAACTAATTGGTGCACGTGATGTTGATCTTTTGGAAGGGTAAACTAAAATGCCCACTTTTTACAAAAATTTCTCGAAAAAAAAGTAGTGGGTCAACAAATATATGTGAGGTTCTTCTTGTAAGTTTTACAGTCATATCGTCTAGTTTCTAAACTTCTTTTATTCTTGGTGAGAGCCTAGCTACTTTCTGTTCCTAGAATAAACCTTCTGGTTTGGATGC